TTTCAATTCTTGTCCCTGTTGTAGAGTACCTCTAATAACTTAGTTCCCTCCATTACTATTGTGTTTTTTTTTTTTTTTTTTTTTTTAAGGGACAACCAATTGCCGATGTCCAGCTTCCCCCCGTTTGCTAGCAGGTTATGACTATTTTTGAGGAGGCGTGAGAGTAGAAATGTGACGTCGAGCTCTGACCAGAAGTCCCCCGCCTTTACCTTGAGCTGTTGTAATTCAGCTAACGTGTCATGAGAGAACCAACGTAGATTAGTTTCTCGTGTGTGTTCATACTTAAGAAAAATATCTCTGGCTGAGATTCTTTGTGAATCAGCTGACAAGATCAGCATGGCTGTTCCTCCTGGGGGAAGTTGGTTTTGGATGATTTTCACTATCTCAGCCTTGAATTTGGCCTCCCCCGCCAGGTTTTCCTCAAGGTGGAGAGTTGTGATGCCGGAGTCCCCTGCATAGTCACCTCTCCCTGCACTGAGCCTGCTGGTTCTGACAGGCCTACCTCCCAGAACCCATCCTTTAATCTCACTGGCAGGATCAACACTCCTGGTTTGGACAGGGCCAGTTCCGCATACAATCCTGCCATAAGCAAGCATATCTTTTGTCTTTTACTAATCAAAATTCCTTCTGATGGGAAAACGGGGGGCAGGGGGGAGCGGGGCAGGGGGCACTGTATCTGCCAAACAGGGGGCTGGGAGTTCTGCTCCTGCCCCTTTTTTATTATAATCATCTCCTTTTTTGGAGAGGGAGAAACTTGTTTTTCCTCTCCCTCCTGAGTTTGATTAAGTATATTAACTTTTTCTTCTGCGTCCACTCGTTCTTCCATTTCCTTGTTAAGGGGTGTGAAAACCATCTTTGCTGTTGTATGTTGCCCTGAAGAGGATTCCACCAGCAACACTTGTTGTTGTTGTTACTTTTTGTCTGAGTCTTGCAGTTCTTTAGTTAGAAGTAGGTATTTTTGTTCACCAGTCAATCCAGATATTACCTGTTTGAGGTGGTATGATACTTCTTTCTGTGGTGTACAGCGAGGGGGGCCGTCCTCTTCTGCTGGTGTCCAGTCTGTCTTACCTTCCTCCCTTTCCTTTTCCTTCTCGTTCCTCTCCCTTATATTTTCTAATACTTCCTGCACCTCCCTTGCTTGCCCCTCCTTCTGCTCTATCTGAGTTACTTCTTGGACTTTGGGACAGTTTCCGTCCTCACTACTGATCCCTAAGCCATTGCTCGCTTGTTTGCTGTCGGACAGTGAGCCAATGAGTACATTGGAACCTGAACCAGTGGTGCTGTGTGAATTCAGATGTGTTCTTGACTGTTTCCTGGCTGTGCTTGGGGGGGCAGGTGTTGTTGTTTTGGGACCTCGCCCTTTTGAGGGTCCTGTGGACTTGCACCTACCTGCTCTTTCCCCTGTGTTGTAAGACCTGAAGAGAAGGGTATTCCCTTCTCGAAAATCCCACATCCTAGTGGGGGTTTTCCTTCCTTTGCTTGTACGGAAAGAGACTGTTCTCTCCCTTTGACTGTGGGAGTGGATGTAGAAGCTTCCCCCACTGCAACAGGCTTGCAACTCGTAGGAATAACTGTTTTTTAGCTGTTTTCCTTTGCTGGCTGCTGTATTTCATTTGGAGGTTGGAATCTCATTGCTACTATTGATAGTAGACGGTGGCACATTTGGTGCCAGCTAACTTCTCTGGGTAGGCTTTGTTCCAGGGTCATTCTAAGACTTATACTATTTTCCAATAGTGAGACTAATTGCATGTACGTGTCATCCCAAAAAGTTTCTGAGCGACCCTGGAATTTTCGTTTCAGACTCTCTAGCAGTCATTCTGCCACCCTTTGGAGGTCTGCCTCAATCATCTCTGTGTTATGCTGCTCTGGATTCTGGCTGGTAGTTCTGTCTGATGGGGGGAGAAAGTTTGGGGTTGGTTCAATCTCCATTGGTTGTGGCCCAAAGATCTCCTTTAATGGGTCTAGGTCCATTGGATCTGGTCCTGGTTCCTCATCCTTCTGTTCTTTTGAGTCTGTTTTATGCTTCCCTAGTTTCTTTGATGAGCAGTTGTTCTTCCCACTTCCTGTTGGCTGCTTTCATTCTGGAAAATTCCATCAGCGCTGCTCTCACTATCCCAATCCCTGAATCGGCCCAATCATTGAAGTCCTGAAAGAGATCTTGTGCCTGTCCCCATTTTTCCATGTGGGTTGTCACCCAGCGGGCTATGCCCTCGTCCTGCAGCAAATTAACATTCAATCTGAACGGCGGTTTATATTGTTCTATGGTATCTCTTGAGAGGATGTCTAAAACTACCAGTAGATGATCAGAGAGGGAGGCTATCAAGTTGTCACAAGCCATGCAGCGATCCCACGGTGTACCCTTACTAGGAAGAAATCGAGCCTCTTTCTAGGGACGTTGGTGTGGTTCGCCGGATGTGGCCCGTACCACGTGAAGCCACCATATTCTGGGTTGAGGGTGCGGAAAGAATCCACCAGGGATTATGAGTCCATGAATTCAGAGAGGATCAATGTGTCCTGCCTGATCCGTGAGACTTTCAGGGAGTCTAATCCTGGATTAAATACAATATTACAGTCACCCGTTAGAATTAAGTTTTCAGAGTCCGGTATACAGGCCGGAAGATCAGCAAAGAAATCAAGTCTTTCTGCATACATCACTGGGGCGTATATGGACATAATGGCCCATTCCTCCCTATCTATAGCGAGCTTGACCCAAGCCCACCTACCATCAGGGTCATGGTACTGATTGATCACTGAGCACTCAAGGTCCTTGTTAATTAACACCACCACCCCTCCTTTAGAACCTCCCGCTAGGGCCCACACCTGCAGCCCCTTCCACCAATGACTCATAGAATACAGTTTGTCTGAATTTAATTTAGTTTCCTGCAGACACAGGATTTGTACATTCTGAGCAAGAATTCTCTCTTCCGTGGAGAAAAAGAAAAGGAAAGCAATGAAAACTTCATTTGCTTTAGGCTGAAACTGCATCCAGATACATATGTGGAAGTGCTATTATGAAAATGCTCTGTCAAATGTACTTTTCCTTTATTGTTTTTTTTTTGTCCTTTTCCTTTTTTTTTTTTTTTTTAAGGGTAGCCCAACCAATTCAATTACCTGTCAAATTTGGACAGGACGGCCTCTCAGGCCTTTTTTATTGTCATTATAGTATTACGGGGAACCCCGTAGCAGCCATATCCGTGCTCAAGCCTCCAACGAGGGAACACGCGGGAGCTGCACCCACCAGTAGGTGCGATACCTGCTATAGCTGGTGGGCGATACCGGCCAGGTGTCAGCCGGTAGCATAAGGACAGAGCTTCTTCGATGGGCCAGTCACTTTGGCTCCCCTCCGGTCCCCTCCCCCTGTGAACATCAGCAGTCTCTGCTCAATGCCACTCGGGGGGACCAACGACATATCTCTAGGTGTTGCAAGTTTTTTTTCTCTTTTTCTTTTATGGCATTGCACACAGTGATGTGCATGTTTCCACATGTACGGAAATCCAAGAGGACATAGTCCATTGGGCAGTTTTCGCTGGGCCCGCCAGCTTTCTCCCTCATAGCGCTTGCAGACCTCCCCCGAACCCCTAAGAATGCGGCGTGGAAGGCCCGCGACCGGTGTATGGCCCAAGTACTGGCGGTTTAATCGAGCAAATCAAGATAAAAGGGATAATTTGGCCGTTTGGTACTACATGCCCAAAACTTTTCATGTGGGGTACTACCGGACCACGCGTGGCTCCAAGGGCCCTACTAGATCATGAATCTGGCACACAAACAGCACCAGATTCATTCCAATCTAACAGAGGCCGACGGTGGTACCCTGAATAGATAGAAAGAGGCCCAAGTATGGTATCTTGAAAAACAGTGGCCCTGTCGGTCCATTAATCTGGCACAATGACCGTTCCAGATTCATCGTCCCGTTGCAACAGGCCAACGGATCCGTGGCGACGCCGCGAAGGCGCCTTTCACCCCAGGGCGATTGGGCCTGTGGTACCAAAAGGCCGAACTTTGGGCACCCGAAACCAAAAAGGTCCTGGTGTGGGCACTTTCCACCAGAACCGGGTTCGCCCAAACTTTTCCCATTTGGCAAGAAGGGCCCACGGGCAATACAGACCGCCAGATGTAAGAATCTGGCAGCCGAGACTGTGTCCCTATGGTTTGGCCTCTTCCTACCTGACTATGAACCTGGCACTGTATCTCTGCCATATTCATTTTCCGGTACTACGCGTTTCTTGCCAAACGCGAAACATTTGGGCAACCGAAACCAAAAAGATTTTTGCATGGACGGTTTCCACCAATGAACCCCTTGCCCTTATTCTTCTTCTTTATCTTTTGCACAAGGTTTGGTTACTAAGGTATGGAGGATACTAACCTGGAGTTTATGATTGTTCTTTTCCTGTCTTGGAACCTCCATGCTAATAGCAAAGCCGTTTGCAGTGGATCCTCCTGTCCTTTTTTTTTTTTTTTTTTTTTTTTTTTGAACTTTGTATACGGGAAACCCCGTTAAGTAGGCCCCGGTGTCGAAGGCTCCATCTATTGGTGGGGAGCTACAACTGCTGGAAATCGGGTCCAGCTTCCCTGTACAATTGTGAAAAATGTATCTTCTGGAAATCAGGTCCTGGATCAGCGTCCTTATGCAATGATGTGAATATATGTGCCGGAACACGGGTCCAGCATCCCTATCCATCTAATCAATCCAATCAGTCAAAACCCTAACCATGATGTGATGTCTACCACCAATGCAATGATTTATATCTGCTGGAAATCAGGTCCAGCGTCCCTATATAGTGTTGTGTAAGTATGTAGACAATGGAATCTCTGCAACAATCTGAAGCATCAATCCAATCCAATCAGTCGAAAGCCTAACCATGGTGTGATGTGTACTACCAAAGATGTGACTTATATCTGCTGGAAATCGGGTCCAGCATCCCCATATCGTGTGTCTATATATGAATTTAATCTATACCTATCAAACCCCTAAACTGCCCGCCACCAATCCTGCGAGGCGATCACCACCCCGTTGTTGATTGGTATTGCGGGTCGGGCAACACCAATCCTCACTGACTATCCTACTCCTATCCTCTGGCAGGCAACGAGAAGCAACTCCATATCGAGGCAACAAAATATAACAAGGCGGAAGTCAGAAAACCAGTTTCCTGTGTTCACCCCCATTCCATCCGCGTCTGCCTGCAGTATCTCACCCATTATTCTGCTTCCATGGACGTCGCCCCGTCCATCGTTGTTGTTGTTGTTGTCGTCTCCATTATCATCCACATCCATCTGCTGCATCACTCCCCTCATGTGGCAGCCGAGGCTGCCGCCTTCCTCATCATCATCATTGTTGTTGTTGTTGTTGTTGTTATTGTTGTTGATGTTGTTGTTATTGTTGTTGATGTTGTTGTTGTTGTTGTTTTTGTCACCACCGTTATCATCCATGTCCATCTCCGGCATCACACCCTTCATGCTGCTTCCGTGGACGTCGCCCCCGCCATCATCACCGTTGTTGTTGTTATTGTTGTTGTCGTTGTCGTTATTGATGTTGATGTTCTCACCCATTTTGCGGATGACGATGTCGGATGCACGGACACCACTCTCTGCCCTGCTGTTGCCTTGATCGTCACTGCCACCATCGCTCCCATAATTATTGTTGCTGTTGCTGTTGTTGTTGTTGTTGTTGTTGTCATTGTTGTTGTTGTTGTTGTTGTTGTAGTTGTTGTTGTTGTTGTTGACGTCTCCATTATCTTCCGCATCCACCTGCAGTATCACTCCCATCATGCTGCAGCCGTGGACGTCAACCCCCCCATCATTGTCGTTGTTGACACCATCCCCATCCTTGATGTCCCTGTAGCTGATGTTGTTGCTGTTTTTTGTGTTTTCGCCACAATCATCTTCACTTGCCAGCAATCCATACTGATACTCCAACTGATTGCGTAAATCTCGCCCCAATGTGAAGAGGGTTCTGCAAGCAGCCAACCTGTCATGATCCACCCACGTCCAGTCGATGAAGACTTTGAGTCGGGGATCCGATGTGACGCGCAACCTCACGCCCTGTGCTGTCTTTCATTCGAAGTGTGAGTTGTGCGGAAAGAGGCTCAGAAAAACAGCAAGATGGGTTGTGCCAAGGATTCTTGGAAATTGAGTGTGGGGACACAGACGGAACTGAAATCCCCCCCGTGTTGGTCCGATGAAGTAAGTCGGTTGCCTTAGCGCGTCGCGGAATGCGCGCGCGGTGTCACGGCGCGAAAAGAGAAAAATCCAAATTCAATCCAAAAAGTATTGTCGAGCTTCCCACCGTGCTACGGCCCGTCGTTTAGAGCGGAAGGGCTTCGGCACGCTTCGCGTGTCTCGTTTTCGGATCAAGTCCCGTCGTCGTTCGCTGGTCAGTTCTGAGTCTGACGTGGAGGGTCGCAGACGCGTGACTCTTTCCTTATGATCGTCCTCACTCTGTATTCGGTAGTGGAATCCCGTCGCTTCGTAGCGATCGAAACGCTGGCACTCTGTGCACAGAGTTCGAGGCCAATGGGGCGCCACTGCCGTCCACGGAATGACGATCAGTTCGTTAAAGGGGAGCAATATTGAGTAGGGTGGGAAGTGTGTGTCGATAATAACAAACCCAGCCTCTACRAACCCCGAACAACGGTTTGCCGGAGGGAAGTAGTATTGCCCGCCGATCTGTGCGACAGCTTCTCGTACGTCCCACTCGCATACACGTGTCCTTTCCTCGTTGTAGGGAAAGGGCCGTGCTGATACGGGAGGTACGGAAGGCTGACGCCCGATCGGAGGGTACTTGTCAGTCCACATATCAATCAAGAAAAAGAAAACACTCACGCAATCCCCAGTCAATCCTTTTCTACACGAGAGAGAGGGAGGAAACACTCATCAGTTTAATCGTGCATGTAACTAACGGACTGGCTCGCGGCTCAGGTTTAGTGAGCTAACGCGATGTAGATCCGAGGCGCCTTGTTTCTCGAGGCCGCCCCGTGGCTCGGGTGCTGAGGTCGTGCAACATAAGGCAGATGGCATGCGCAGTACCTTCAAAGCTACAAATCTAAACACTCTTGCATTCTCGAACAAAATCCCGACAACAATCGTCTAATCAACTTCAAAGAGAAGGACGCATACTTCCATACATACATTCACTGTGGAAGGTGCGAAAATGAGATATGAGGCAAAAGATGGATCACTGAATAATGCACACGCATCCACCGTTCACAAGACAAGAAGGCGGGGTCCTTGCATAGGGGGACTACCCGGGAAACTAATGGAAGAGTTCCGGAAGAAGTTTTTGTACACAGGAACAGCATGCAGACTCATTTCCATTTGAGAGCGAGAGGGAGAGAGAGAGAGAGAAAGACACTTCATCATTCAAACATAGAGGAGAGAAGAGAAGGGGACGAGATCAAAAAGGCAATGTTCGGCGTTGCCGCCGCATGCTCACACCAGAGATGAAGATCCACAACAACAAAGGCGCATTCGCCGTAGATTCCAACATGGCCCCCAGGCCAATCACTCACTCAACTCCAATCATCGATCCTCATACCCGCACCGACGATCCCGGTCGTCGCGTGCTAACTCCCACCACTGCGATCATCACCCCGCTGACGTAAACTCTGCGTGGTTCGCCCCGATCCCACAGTCCGTCGTGGCGATCAAGCGCGCAACCGGTCAGCCTATCGTCAACCCGACAGGAATTTCCGACTCGCACCAAATACTCTGCCTAGCCACTGCTTCCCGGAAGATGGCTTGAGAGTCGAGAACGTAAGAGAGGTTTGCGGGCGCGCTTGCGGAATTTGTAGTAGCGAGGAGGGAGGCAAGGGAAGGAGAATGCAGGGGGAAAGTCGAAGTGTAAGAGGAGAAGCAGGAGGAGAAAACTTTGAGAGGAGCGTTTGGCGGAAGACATGTTGATGCTTCGAAACTCCAGATTAACCAATCAGACTCGTCGCGCGATAGGCAGATCCTACCATACCCCGCGTCTGATTGGTGGGCGATAGTAATCGAAGGATTGACCGGACTTCACGAGCTTTGCTCAGAGAGAAGAAAAGGCGCGAGAAGTAGCGCAAGACGGGTCCAAGATTCAGATGATCAAGAAAGGGGAAATGGGCGCGCATAGATCTGAGCAGGAGAGAGAAAGGGAGGGAGAAAAACAGTTACGAGGAGAGAGGAGGAGAAGTGGGAAGGAAAAAGGAGCGCGGGAGAGAGCGATGCGGGGGACAGAGAGGAGAAAGCTTTTGCATGTGTGGCACCGTCAACAAAAAGAACAAAAGAAAAAGGCACCGAAACAGTTACAGCTCGCCTACGTCCTAAACCAATTCAAAATTGAAATCACCATATCCACGCGCGAAAGAGCAGCGCGGGAAAAGAAAGTCCTACGCCTATTTGTATCCTTGCAAAATTCCGAGAGTTTTCCCCGACGCGACCGAGAACATTCACACACAAAAAGGACACGTCGAAGTTCCGCTTATCCCGGAAATCCCAATTGTCGGGCCCAATTCCTAGTGCGCTTGCTAAGGCGCACGTAAATTCCCAAGTATTTCCTGAATTGCAAAAGGAAAAAGTCGAACCCGGGAATCGAAAAGGCCGTTGAAAACGCGGCACCCAAAATCAAGAAAATGAAACAGGGGTTTTCATGGGGTTGATATGATACAAAAAGGAGGGGTACGAAAGATGACACGGGTTCAGGAAGTAGTTCGTCACAGGCCCCTCCTCCAGCTCCAACAAGATGTCTAAGAACTTCTGAACCCTATCTTCCAGCCATAGGTCCATCGAGATCACTCCCCCATTGATCTCCCCCCCTTCTTGCTGCCGCTGCATAGGCAACCCCACAATCGTCTGTATCTGCTTGCATCCCTCCGCCAGTGTGGTAATCCATTCTTCTGCTTGATATTGTAGCTTCGCTACCAAATCCTTCTCCCCCCCCATTAGCTGCGCCACTCACATAGTTCTACTGAAACCCTTGTAATCCCATGGCTGGTGCTACCCCTGCTAACGTGTCACGGAACGTCAGTGTCTCCAAACAACAGACTCCACGTGGCCTCAAGCCACTTCACACCTATCGGGCACGTGCGCAGGCCCAGCAGCTGGAGAGCTGCTCTCCCCAGGTGCTAGTCGAGCCGGGTTGACCGGGGCCTACCGGTCCGCCGGCGTCGGGGCGCTAGCACTAGTGCAGTTTCGCCTCCGGCGGAGGGCCATGGTTCTAAAAATGGGCAGTTGCGCCACTTGTACTGTTCCAGATGGCATGGACAAGACACTCCGTGTAGATTTAGGGGGATGGCTGCCCCCTCCTCGATCCAAGATTCTCCTAACCCCCTAAAACACTCCCTCTTTTTTTTTTTTAACCCAAGCTCCGATTTATTCGTGGAGAGCAGCACGGGCTGGGAACTCGGGCCAGCATCCCACCTTATGAGAATTACAAACAGAATGTGTTATAGGGGCCATTACCTGGCTTTGGCTTAAACCGCTGGTACACGGACCCAGTCTTGCAGAAATTTTTGTTGCCACAAGCAAAACTCGGAGGCAGAAAGTTTTTGTCGCCATAAAGGCGGTGAGGCCCTCCGTTAAAAATAAAATTGGCGGCCTGCGAAGTGGTGCGGGTTTCATGCTGACACCCGCAGGCTGATATGTGGTGTACTGGTGCTTTAACAGTCACAAAGTCTCAAACCATACGCTATTCAGCTTGACTATACCAAGGCTCACCTGTCCGGCCGACAGCGCTGCACCTTGGACCCTCCCAGTAGCTTGTATGAGATGAAGAAGGGTTGTCAGACCAGGATGCATTTTGGTTCTCCATTGGAATAACGAGCTAAGTGACATCTTCTCGGGTCTCCTTACTACCCTTTATAACACAGCCTGGTGCTTTTATAACAATGCTCGCTCCCTGCCTCAAACTCTTACTTCTCAGCAGCAGGTCTCTTTGAGCAACCGTCCTATGCCGTGACTTCCTCACTGTCTCTCCTGACGCCTTAGGTAGGCTCCTTATCAATGCTAAATGATTCTTCCCTTGGAAGATTCGGAGGGTCAGTCATACAAAAAGAGGATCTAGGTACAATCCGAAGCCTATCCAAAGCCAGCTTATACAGATTCCGATCTGCTAGCATGGTACTATACTGAGTCTCAGGATGTTACACGATGTAGACTCTCAACTTGAGAAGGTTGGTTGGCTATGGCGAGGCTCATTTCTCCCATTGGCTGGGTTCAATATCGGTTCGGGTTCTCGACTGGTTGGTCATTGAGCTAGCGTTGTGACGAGCCACTTTCTGTAACGCGCGATTTTCTGCGCAGTTGCAACGAGGGGTCCTAAGCTGGGAAGGTTGGGCCAATTACGGAAAACCGGGATCGGTGGAAAATTGCATCAGTACCCTTGCTTTTTCGTCCTTTTCGTCTCTTCTTTTCATGTGGCTGGGTGTGTCCTGGGATGGCTGGTTAATTGATTGGTCGGCTGAATGGCTGGCGCGTCACCACGCGCGCGATTAATAAGTGTTGACGTCGGTTTCGATCTTTTGAGCGCGGACATCGCGCAGGAATTTGCTTCGTTCTTTTTGAATTTTCTTTCGAGTCTTTTTCGAATTTTGTCGAGCCCCCGATGGCTCTCGGAATTTCGGACTTCCTCCCCCCCCCCCCCTGAAATTCGTGCTTTTTGCTTTTCCGCATTAGATAGGAATTTAGGAATTCAGTAATTAGGATTTTCTTGCCGCGCGGCGCCTTTTTGTCTACGCGCTTCTTCATGCGGCTGCAACGGTACTCTGATTAATGGGCGCCCTTAATCGTGTGAGTAACTGTAATTACGGGGCGGGCGCCATCGTAACTGTATCTCTCTTCTTGCACTTCGTCTCTCCCGCCCTTCCTCTCTTTCTTTTGCTGAAATTTTTGTAAGTCGCGGCTTGTATGCTCGGATCGATGCGTG